GAGGGAGCAGGCACCGACCGCGGCCCCCCAGGCGAAGAGCGGGACTACGCGTCTCTCCGGCTGAGGCCTCCGATGCCTTGCTGCGGCGCAGGCGAGCGCGGCAGCTTGTGTTACGAACGAGCAGCTTTGCTAGTCCCTGTCTGTAGCAGCTATCTCTGTCCTACTGGGTTTTCCTGGCCTCTCTGCTCCTCCTGGCTCGTCTAGGCCTTCGTACAAACTCCTGTTCCTGTAGCCTGTGCTGCCCTCGCACAAAGAAAGCGCTCGCTTTTGCTGATGATACTGCCCCTGTCCTTGCCCTCCCAGCCCTGGTCACGCATTTCAGTTGATGCCTCGCTGTCAGAAATGGCCCTGTGTGTCTGGTTATTGCTTGTCATACAGCCGCCTCATGCAGGTCCAACAGGGCAAATAGCAAAGATACTACACGTGTGTGTGCCTGAGTGCGTGCATGCATAAAAACATAAATTATGTTATATAAATTTATGTTACAAATTATGTTTATATAAATTATACTTTGCACGTATGCGTTTGTTAGTGTTTGCAAACACAATCGCTGCTCCAGTTGACAAAAAGGTGTTCAACGTGATTACATCTTTCTCTCCTCCCCCTCTTTTTCAGGATACTTTGGTTTTCTCATTTGAGGCACAGCCGCAGTCGTGAGTGGTACAACTGAATGGTGAAAGTTTCGGGGGGCTGGGGGCTGCTGAAAGCAGATGTCCAGGGCACTGTAACAGTCTCTCTTCCATCGCCTCTCCTAAGACCAAGGAGGTTTTTGTCCCTGCTGGTGTTACCATTTCGTTGGACTGAAGCTGAACTGAGCAGATAGAAACTTTGGAGTGGAGGGGAGAAGCAGAGGGTGTCAGGAAGCAGGGAGATGAGAGAGCTTCCTAAGATGCTAGTGAAAAGGTAAAAAGGTTGTCGTTTTCAAACTTGTGTAGTTAAAATACCTTATATAAACACTAACAAATAACAAATATATAATAATGAGACACTGTACTGGTATAGTGGTAGAGTCTGTCAGCCTGTGAAACGCATTATTCAAGGTGACCCAATTTGTTTTTCTGTAGACATAAACTGAAATCAGTGCTTTGGTTTTGCTTTCAATAAGAGCATGGTTATTCCAGGAGAAGCATAGTAATATGGAGGAATAAAAAAAGTCCCGTTCCAATAAACAGTTAGATCTTAAACAGCAGTAGTTGAAAGAGCAGTGGGAAATCAGGGAGACCGTCATGTTATGTCAATAAGAGAAAATGAAAATCAAGTTACAGTTCTATCCAAAATTGACTATTTTTCTTATTTGCAAGTAACAGATAAAAGCCACATTTATATTTTTTATGTTTTTCATGACATCAGTTAATGCTGTTTAAAAAAAGTGGTCCAGAAGAGGGCAACATTAACAGCCATTCTAGGATTTAGGGTGGACAAATGCTTTAATGTTGACAGAAGATGCTGCAATATTTTGAGAACAGACAGTGGAGTAAAATGAGAGAATGTGAAGTAAGGAGGCACAGAAGGATAAAAGAAAAAGAGAGCATTGGACTGGAAAAAAGGGTAACACGAAAGAAAAGAGGAACTGTTAGATGCTAGATACGAGGACTTTTTTAAAGTAACTTAGAAAAGCAAGTATCTTAGTGCTGCTAGTTATATCATGCTCCATTCAAACTCTGTTCATCATTTATGATATTTCCAGAAATCTTTAAATTTTGACTCAGTGGGTTTCAACTATTTTTGTGCTTGTTTTTTTAATAATAGTTTCATTTGGAATTCAGCATAGTATAGCAGCCTCTGTGTGAAGGAACAGATTGCTCAGTTCTTCCATAAAACATTAATGATGGGTTGTTCTGGATGGTGAGAATCCTTTATTTCACCTTAGAGTTTTCTTCTAAGTGAATTGGAAGGTATGCAGGCATAAAAATACATTTGCAATTCCAGAAGATTGTGTGGACACATAACACGCAAAATAGATGGCTTCCTCTCAAGAAGGGATTCGTGGTGGTGGTGGTGGTGGGGTTTTTTGTTTGTTTGTTTGTTTGTTTGAGGGGATGAAAGGAAGGCCAGAGCTAATGTGAAGGGAAAAAAAATTATTTAACGCTGCTTTTAGAAGGCTCAAAGCGCACATACTGGAAATATCTTCCAAGTAAAAGCCACAGTTGTCAGACTGACAAGCCTGGTCGCTATCCTCACGTCATATTCCATAGAACATCTAGAACGAAAAATACCACTGTAAAATGCCAGCACAAGTAACTTTAACTTCAACTTTAAATTCAGTTATTCTCTCCCCTCACTACCTGAGTAGCTGTCATCGGCTTTGATAAAGGAAGACCCAGTTAACTGTTACTTTCATTTCAAACATATTATTTCCATCTTCTTGCTTTCTTGAGCCTGTGACCTTTTCTTTCCTCTGTCGCATCTATGAGAATTTTTCTCCCCTAGTCTGTTTTCTGGTAGGCTCCGTTTGTGGAGGCCCACTCAGAGAATGAGACTTCAGACTAAGACCAAGTTCCTCTGCTCCGTTGTACCTGTAGGTTCAATAGATGTATGCAGTGAATGAGTCAAGTATTAATTCGGAGCTGCCTGAGCTTTCAGTAAATTGAAATAGGCTCCTGTGATTCTTGCCAGATGAACACAACCAGGATACTCATGGCCCCTGTGGCATTTGCTGGTCAGAAAGATAATTCCCAATTCCTAGCATGAACCTTAGCTTTAGGCCTGGTTCAACAAACAGTTCCAGATACAAAATTAATTAGGTTAAGTGACCCTTTCCCGCATCAGCCCTAGCTCAGAAGCCTTTACTGGCTTGAACAGCATCTGTACTAACAATCCAACCTTAGCACTGCAGTCCTGCCTAATTTGCCTTTGCCTCTCCAACTTTGACATTATTCCTAGCTCTAGGATCCTGACCCATGCAATCCTGAAGACAAGATCTGTTTTGGTAGGTTAGGCCAGTTCTCGCTCGCTGGCCTCACCAAGCTCTATCTTCTGGTTTCAGCCGTAAACTCTTCTGTCCTACTCGCACAACCCTTATCTCTAGCTTTTAGCCATAGCTCAGTGATACCTGCTGTGCCAGCCCTCAAGCTTAAGTCTGTTGGTACTAACTTATATCATTTCCCAGCCTCTCATGATGAACCTTACTAAGCTGATCTGCTGGCCTGCACCCTCACACTACAAATGAGTGACTATCCCTGTGAGTGGGACAGCTGCTAGACTCAGACCCAAATATGGCTATGTAGCCACACTAACCTCAGCCCAGACTTTACCTTTAAAACCACTGATGTTTGTTTTAGCAGAGCCAGGGGCTGCCCTTGCCAGTCACAGTACCCCTGCACCGCTGCTGCTTTCAGCAGGGGCACCACTTAATGGACTCACGCAGTCTCTGAACCCACACTAGATTGGTCTAGAGCATGTAAGAAATGCCGCAGTTTCCCATCATACATTTTTAAATCAATGGACTTCATTTGACATGTGAATTAATTATAGGACGCATTTTGAGGGACTGAATTTCAGCAGATATCACATCTTTAAAAACACTGCTTTCAATGTTCTTTCCTAGTTCATACAGAGAATTATTTCCTAGAAAGGTTTCCTCCAGTTTCTCGCAAAATTTCAAGTCTATGCAAATCTGACATGTGAGATACAGCTGTTCGTCACATCTTTCAGGCTTCTGACCTGCCGCATCTGAGGCATGGGATCACAGAGAGAGAGAGGAGGGCTGCTGCTGAGAGATGGGCTAAGTGTCAGGACCACTTTCTCAACACAGCCTCACAAGAAGGCAATATTCCCAACGCAGCCCAACACCATAACCCTTTCCTCATCACTTGTCCAAATGCACTGCGCCGCACACTCCTGCTGCCTTTCCACTGATCCAGCTCCGTGCCAGCTCGCATGCTGGAGATGCAAGGCCTGAATTAGAGAAGTCTGGAAACACTGGCCTGGGCATGGGGTCTGAGTGATGCACAAGGATCATGTGCAGGCTCAGGAACCGAATGAGCACGTTGGGCTAAGGTAATAACCCTACTGAAACTGCCTTGTAGTGCCAATGCATTTCTGGCATAAGCAGCTACAGCAATTTAGATAAACCGCAACTTCTTTTGCTCTCGATCACAAAAAACAAAACGACCTCTCCTCCTCCATGTCTCTTAGCTATTTTAACTGGAGCAGCACTTTTCTGAATAGCTAAAGGAGTGCATTTTAAAAACCGACTAATGAGGGTTTATCTTCCCTACCGTTACACTAGAGCCGTATCAATATCAAAGGACCCAACTCAGCTGCGGCGTCAGCAGCACGGATATGCATTAGTGCTAGGCTTTCGAGCCAGGGCTCAGAATGAGTCG